TCCATTGTGTGAGTGTTCTAGTTTATTTATTGGCCTATTGAAGAATGTTGGGTTTCTTCAAGTTTTGGGTATGGGTAAAGCTGCTATAAACATTTGCACACAGGATTTTGTGCATTTGTAAGCTTTCTTATCAGGTGGGTAAGTGCCTAGGATTGCGATTGCCAAATCATACGATATAAATCATAAACATAAATTGCCAACTTTATCTTCCAAAGTTGCTGTACTATTTTGCATTTTCACCAGCAATGAAATGAGAGTTTGTCTTGCTTTATATCCTTGCTGGTTTTGTTTGTTTGTTTTTAGCCATGTAACAGGTGTGTGGTGGTATATTGTTTTAATTTGCGATTATGTAATGGCAGGTAGTGTTGAGTATCTTATTCCGTGCTCATTTGCCGTCTGAATATCTTCTTTGGTGAGGTATCTGTTCATATCTTTTGCCCATTTTTTAATTGAGTGGTTTGTTTTTTTATTGTTGAGTATGAGTTCTTTGTGTAAACCAGTCTGTTATCAGATATGTATTTTATTTTGCAAATGTTTTCTCCTGGTCTGATTTGTCTTGTTTTTTCTTTTTCTTTTTTAATCCTCACCGGAGGATATTTTTTCCATTGCTTTTCAGAGAGAGTGGAGGGCGGGGAAGAGAGAGAGAAACATTGATGTGAGAGAGACACATCAATTGGTTGCCTGAACGGGGCCAAGCCTGCAACCCAGGTACACGCCCTTGGCCAGAATCGAACCCGGGACCCTTCAGTCTGCAGGCCAACACTAACCACTGGGCCAAACTGGCCAGGGCTGATTTGTCTTTTAGTTCTTATGTGTCTTTCACAGCATTGAGATTTTTAATTTTAATAAAATCTAAGCCCGGCCAGGTGTGCCTCAGCGGTTGAGCGTCGACCTGGGATCCAGGCGATTGGGGTTCGATTCCCAGTCAGGGCATATGCCCAGGTTGTGGGCTCGATCAATGACTCATCATTGATGTTTCTATCTCTCTCTCTCCCTCTCCTTTCCTCTCTCTGAAATCAGTAAAGATATGTTTAAAATAATAATAATAATAAAATCTAATACTTTTATGTATCTAGCTTTTGATGTTGTATTAAAAGCTCATTGTCAAACCCAAGATCAGCTAAATGTTGTGTTTTCTTCTAGTAAGCATAGTAGTGCAGTATCCTTTTTATATTCCTGCTCAATAAATGCTACCTTTTAAAAGGACTCTACTTGATATAAGGAGTGTGGGTAGGAGGACTGAAGTGAGGGGAGATTTTGTTTCTTGATAATGTCACATTTTTCAGTAACAAAGCAGAGAATCAGGTCATCTCAAAATATAGTCTTCAACTGTAAGTGTGGACAGGTCTCTAACAACACTTAGGACATTTAAGATGGTTTAATAGTGGCTCTTGGAACTAGACCTATTTACTGCAGGATTTTCTTGGGAGTTTTGGCAAATTCCAGTTACTAAAACAGCATATGTAAAGCCAGTAGTGGCTAAGGCTTACAAGTGCACATCTATGAGAACCAATTTGTCATGGTTTGGCAAAGATTCCTCATAGCTTAAACAACCCTTAGAATAATGTGAAAGTAACAGATGAGTATTTGCACACAGAAGTGTATTTCCTGAAGTTTGCTGGAGTCTTCCTATGTGTTCCTGACAGGGCCACCTGAATACTGTTTCCTTTCAAATGAGGCCATTCTGACTCACCCAAGTGGATGTCTTCCCCCAGTTTCCTTGGTCCATCGACCTGCGCTAGGTTTTGTGCAGTTGCACCCTCCCTCACTAAACCCTGCCTGAAGCCCCTATTCCAGATCACTGTGGTTAGTGCTCTTCCTGACTAGTCTTCCTGCCCTTTGTCTCTGGCACACCTCCTCAGTATTCAGCTACATAGTAACATTCAGTCTAGTGTGATAGTAATACAGGATTTGGAGTCTGACTCGCAGGTATTAGTTGTGATAATGAGTAAGGTATTTTAATTTCACTAAGTTCCTAGTATGGAAAATAAAATGAGAGTAATACCTCATGAGAGGCTTACATGAAACATGTGAAAGTGCTTTATAAACTGGAAAATAAAACACAAATGGGTTATTATAAATCCTAAGCAGTAGTTCTCAAAGTGTGATTCCTGAGCCAGCAGCCTCAGCATCCATCCCTGGAATTTGTTAGGAAGGTGAAACCCAGCCCAAACCCACCTGGGATGAGGCCCAGCATACTACTTTCCCATTTTTTGTGATACACTGCCCTACAATATTATACTTGAAAACCTAAGGACAACTGTCTTAATCTGCTCATGCTGCCGTAACAGAATACCAGATGTAACCATTGAGATTTAAACACTTGAGATTTATTTTCTCACAGTTCTGGAGGCTGGAAGTACAAGGTCAAGGTGTCGGCAGGGTGATTTTCTGGTGAGGATTTTGTCCGTGATTAGCAGAGAGCTGCCATCTCACTGTAGCCTCAGGTGGACTTGCTTCTGTGCACAAGCACTCCTCTTATGTGGACACCAGTCTTCCTGGATTAGGGCCCCACCTTTATGATCTCTTTTAAACTTAAAAATCCTACCTTCCTTGAAAATGCTCCCTTCAAATATATAGTAACATTGAATTTTAGGGAAACAAGATTCAGTCCATAATAACAATACATCAACAAATTAAGAATTATTGAGAAAATAATCAGTCCTACTTTTATTAAAGGTAAGTAGTTAGCCTACTAGACCATCTCTCTGATTAGCTTTTCTTTGAGCAACAGTGTTCCAGCTGCAGTACTTAGTCCTAATTAATCCATTAGTTTTGTGTTTTATTGAGTTACTACTGGTCTTACCACATTTTGTCTTACTTAAAAAGTTGTAACCATATATTGTTTTAGCTGTGTTTTAGGCTAATTTAGTTTTGTAGCTTATCCCTGGGAATTCAACCACCATTTTAAAAAATTATTTTTTAAATTATTGTTACTTTTAATCCTCACCAGAGGATATGTTTTATTGATTTTCTGAGAGAGAGAGAAATATATATATATATATATTTTTTTTAAATATATCTTTATTGATTTCAGAGAAAGTAAGGGAGAGAGAGATGGAAACACCAATGATGAGAGAGTTATTGGCTGCAGCCCGCAACCCGGGCATGTGCCCTGACCCGGAATTGAACCCTGATCTCCTGGATCCTAGGTCAGTGCTCAACCTCTGGGCCACGCCCGGATGGGCGAGAGAGAGAAATAGTGATGTGAGAGAGAACCATCGATAGATTTGCCTCCTGTAGATGCCTCGACCAGGAACTAAACCCACAACCTTTTGGTGTATGGGTCAGCACTCCAACCTACTGAGGCACCTGGCCAGGGCTCCAACCACCGTTTATATAGCATTGTTCCTCTGAGAGAACCTGAAAGTTGTGTAGAGTTGATTTAGATAAAAGTGTTGACTATCTGTGTAGTTTTAGAGAACCCGTTGTAGTTGTAAATAAACAAAGCCATATTGCTATGCAGTGTGTATCATTTTGACAGAGATTAGAGGTTTTTCCAGTGAAGAAAAGATTACTGATATTTTTTTAAGTATATAAGAAACCATAGCAGAATGTTGACATTGAAAGTTTCTTCTAAAAACTAATACCAGTCCTAGGAAAGGTTATGGATGACTTTATTTAGCACTTTTATTTTCTGCACTGCTAAATGCTAAGTGTTTAGGAATCCAGTGAACTTTACCTTTTTCATTTTGTGAACATAGTCCCAAGATACGTTAAATAAAAGAAATGCCACCAAATGATATATGAAAGTCTAGTCTAGTTTACTCACTTCAAAGGGTTAGTGTTTATAAGGAATTTGGCATTAAATTCAGCACTAGAATAATTTGATATACTTTTTTTTCCTGGACACTTATTTGGTCAAATGGCAGCCATGATTGTTAATTGGGGCCATTGGAGTTTATGAAAGAGCCCTTTATTTCAGTTCTTTCTTTGTTTTTGTTTTGGATTTTACCTGAGAAATAAAGGCCTCCATTGTAAACAGGAGACCAAAAGAATTAAGCTCAGTTTTTTTTCTTTTTTAAAAAATTATTGATTAGGTTGATTGATTGGTTAATTTGATGGGGTGGGGGGGGAGATTTGTTGTTCTACTTATTTATGCATTCATTGGTTGATCCTTGTATTTGCCCTGACCTGGGATCAAACCCACAACTTTGGCATATCAGGACAACACTCTGACCAACCGAGCTACCTAACAAGGGCAGTTTTCTTATTTGCCATCTTAACCATTATTAAGTGTACAATTCAGTGGCTTTAGGTACATTCACATTATTGTGCACCCATTACCTCCATCTAGTTATAGAACTTTTTTATCTTGCAGAATTGAAACTCTGTACTACATACTGCCACATCTTTTTGTGCATCCATGTGGACCACCTTTTTATGTCTGGATCTGTGGTCCTTGGAAAGAGGACCACTGACAGTCTAATACAATACACAAGGCATGTACGTGTTTAGAAAATAAGAGATAAAAGTCGCTGGTCCTTGGTTCAATATTTTTTTGTTCTCTTCAAACACTAATTTAAAACTATATTTATATACACTTGATGATCTTTGAAGAACAGCAGCAGTGTCTATATTAAGTATTTAATGGGTGGCTAGTTAGTTCCTTTGTTACCATTTCATTATAATGTTTTAATAGTACTAGTAAAATAATACAGGAAAGGGGCTTTTGTCATTTGTCAGACTTTTTACAGATGCAAGAGGTTAATTTGAAATTGTATTTGAACATTCTAGCTCTGTGAAGCCAACATGATTGACAATTGATTGTTTTGTTTGGTTTTTGTTTTTTAGGTCAATTGTTTATCTTTGAGTTTTATTTTGAAATTTTCTTGAAATTGAATCTTTTAAACTAACTAATTTTAGGACAACCCCTGACTCTCTCTGGGCTTACTTTATCTGTAAAATGAAATATTCATTATAAAGTTCCTTTTAGTTGTGTTTTGGAAGTGTTAAAAGGAGGCAATACATTTAACTTACTTTACTCTTGTTATATGTAGATCATGGGAGAGAAGTGGTTGCTGTGTTTGTTACTAGTCCTTGGAATTGCTGTCATTCGGGCTCATGAGGGCCATGACGATGATGTGATTGATATTGAGGATGACCTCGATGATGTCATTGAAGAGGTAGAAGACTCAAAAACGAAACCAGAGACCAGCACTCCTCAGTCTCCAAAGGTTTGAAGTGATCTTTGAATCTTTGTTTTACCTCTTTGAGATAATCAAATGGCTAAGGTAAATTTGGATACTTTTCAAAGGGAAAGCTAATCTGCTAAAATACTGATCTCTCTGGCAGCCTTTGTTATACCTTGCCAAAGATAAATTACATGAATTGAATTCAAGGGCCAGCTAGCAGAGTTTTGCTGTAATTGAAAGCAAACCAAGACAATAAATCCTACTAAGAAAGGAATGTTGAAAATTTCAATTCTTAATTTATTTTTATATTTGACGCAGGTCACCTACAAAGCTCCAGTTCCAACAGGGGAAGTGTATTTTGCTGATTCCTTTGACAGAGGAACTCTGTCTGGGTAAGTGTTTCTTAGGGGAAAGAATCTGAGGTAAACATGTAAATAGGGGAATAATGAATTCCTACTTATTTATTTATTTTATTTTCCTTAACCGAGTATATGCTTTTAATTGACTTTAGAGAGAGAAAGGGGGAGAGAGAGACAGAGAGATATTTATGTGAGAGAACAACATCAATCGGTTGCCTCTCCGGTGCGCACCCTGGCCTAGGATCAACTCCCAGCTGGGGTATGTGTCCTGATTTGGAATTGAACCCACCATCTTGGGACAATGCTCCAACCAACTGAGCTACCAGGCTAGGGCTAGTGGATTCCTTTTAGAATAGCATCTTACATATAGTGAAATGGCGATAGCTATTTTATATCCCTATTGTTCGTGCCCATTTAGGAAAATAGTCTCTTAGAACTGTGGTTCTCCCTTCCCTTTCTCTCTCCTCTTCCGCTCTATATTTTGTTCTTTGATTGAGGAAATTTTTTTTCTCTTGAGTTTTAAAGAAAGTGGAATTATTTCATGGATTTGGTACTTTTTCTTACAGGTTTGTGAATTGAGTACAATATATTATCACTACTTACGTGACAGATTTAAAAGTAGAATGGTTAAGTGGGCTAGATAGAAAGAGCTGGATAGATCCTGCTTTTATTAGTATTTACATTGTTTCTTTTCACAGGTCAACTATCATTTGGACCTTAATTTTGGGGTTTGTCTTAATTACAGGTGGATTTTATCCAAAGCCAAGAAAGATGATACTGATGATGAAATTGCCAAATATGATGGTGAGAGTGCATTTGATTTAAGTATAATAGCAGATTAAGGTTTGAAGTGTTTCCATGCTATCTCTTAAGACTAGTTTAAAAGGGGTATGTATGCATTTAAAAAATTTTTTTCCTCAGAGGTTTTGCTATCTTTGTGTGTTCCATTATATGTTAGAACTGTTTGTTTCACACCATAAAATGGAAAGGTAATTTGATAATTTATCACCTGTGGTGTCGCATGTTGGAAATGAAAGGCCTTTTTTAAGCATTGATAAAATTAATATGCTACAGGTTTTTAAAAAACATTCTAATATGTTCATATATGTATGTATAATTTTAATAGGCCAGCTTTTATAGGTAAATGAAATGTGTTAAAATATGTTGGTATGATAGACATACTTGCACAACTTGGAGTTTTGTTTGCTACTATTTAAAGGACCTTCAAAGGTAAGTTAAGGAGTGGAACTTTTTTATGTGTCTTATAGGAAAATGGGAGGTAGATGAAATGAAGGAAACAAAGCTTCCAGGTGACAAAGGACTCGTATTGATGTCTCGGGCCAAGCATCATGCCATCTCTGCTAAACTGAACAAGCCCTTCCTGTTTGATACCAAGCCTCTCATTGTTCAGTAAGTGAGACACTTTTTTGATAAGATGCTTTCTAGGAAGGGTGATCTCAGAAGACATGATATTCTAAAACTATTACTCTACAAAAAAAAATTAAGAGAATTACTATATGTTACAATAGGGATTTTTGAGTGTATTTAAGCATCCTGTAATGTAATGTTATTTTCCTGCCCAATAAATTATTTTGAAAGAAACTGGCGATTCTTCCTCCTAATCACAAATCAACTTCTGGATTTTGCAAAAAGTATCTACTGGGAATCTGCATTAAGCTTTTATTTTATTTTACTTATTTATTTTGAGGGAATTGGGAAGCCATTCAAAGCAATACAAGATGAAATCTTTCCTAAGGATAAACATATGACCTATGATAAAACATGAGACCAAGATGGGGAAAGGGGTAATAAATAGGAAATTTGATATTTCAGAATGCCATATGGTTTTCTGCTTTCCTCTCTTATATTAGGTATGAAGTTAATTTCCAAAATGGAATAGAATGTGGTGGTGCCTATGTGAAACTGCTTTCCAAAAGCCCAGATCTCAACTTGGTAGGTACTTCCTGTTTCTTTATGTGACCACCCATAATTATCTTTCAATATTTGAAATGTTAATTTCAAAACTGTTCCATCTTATCCCTGGTTTGTGTTCTGTGTAATTTTTAGTTTTAACAAATGTGTTTGTTTGTTTTATGAAAGAAGCAGTAACTATCTAGGTACATGCATTGCTTTGTTGTCCTTAAGCACTTCCATAATATTTTCATGTAAAATTTCCTGATAATTTCTGTTTATTCCATTCACTGGTATATATATATGAACCTCATAAGTGAATCAACTTTTTTCTTTCTTTAATTTTTTTATTTTAGTTGATATTCATTATTATTTATTAGTTTCAGGTGCACTGCATAGTGGTTAGACATTTATAGAATTTTCAAATTGAATCCCTCCCAATAAGTCTAGTACTCACCTGATACCATACAAAGTTATTACAGTATTATTGCCTATGTTCCCAGTGCTATACTTTACATCCCTGTGACTGTTTTGTAACTACCAATTTGTACTTAATCCCTTTACCTTTTTCACCCAACTCCCTAAACCGCCTTCCGTCTGGCAACCATTAGTTTGTTCTCTGTATCAATGAGTCTGTTTTTGTTTTGTTTGTTTTTGTTCTTTAGATTCCACATGTAAGTGGAATCATGATAAGTGTTTCTCTGTCTGACTTAATTTCACTTAGCATAATACCCTCTAGGTCCTTCCATGCTGTCACATATTCAGCTTTTCTTTTAATGTGACACTAATTTGTTTGGGATTTTATAAGAAGAAATATCACACTTTTGAAAAGTTGCTTTAACACTTTGATTTACTTAAAATAATCCATTTTTGTTTCTGAAGGACCAGTTCCATGACAAGACCCCTTATACAATCATGTTTGGTCCCGATAAATGTGGAGAAGACTATAAATTGCACTTCATCTTCCGTCACAAAAACCCCAAAACGGGTGTATACGAAGAAAAGCACGCTAAGAGGCCAGATGCAGATCTGAAGACCTATTTTACTGATAAGAAAACACACCTTTATACATTAAGTAAGAAAGACCATTAATTTGGGGGTTTTATGGCACTACAGATTTGTCATTCATTATATAACTAGAGAAGACCTAAGCCTGCAGGCAAGAGTCTCTATTGACTTAGTTACTTAGAAGTGAAATGAACTTAATATTTCAGCACAGTAAGAAGCTTCTTTTCCATAGTTTGAATTGACAATTAGGGTTTTTTTAAATTAATATGTTTTTACCAATTTCAGAGAGAGGGAGGGAGAGGGAGAGAGAGAGAGAAACATAAATGAGAGTCATTGATCAGCTGCCTCCTGCACGCCCCCCACTGGGGATCAAGCCTGTAACCCGGGCATGTGCCCTGATTGAGAATCGAACTGCGATCTCCTGAATCATAGGTTGGTGCTCAACCACTGACGCATGCCAGCTGGGCAGGGTTGAGAATAAGCTTTTATGTCCCATAAGGAACTCCTTTGCTAATGCCCTCACTTCCAGCCTTTTGTTTATTTTCTTGTTGATAAAATGTTAAGTAATAGAACATATAATAGAAATATATGTATGCTCAGTGTTTTCAAATTATCTTTTAGTTGAAATTTGCTTGGATGCTCCAACACCTGAACAATTGAATTTAATCATTTGGATATTAGAATGGGATATTTATTTTAATGAAGCTTTTCCCCTCATTTGAGATCACATATACACATGCCTCTTTTCTTAAAGAATATAATAACCTTTTCTCTTTATTTCAAAAGTAATACATATTCAGATATATAGAAATTCAGAAGAAATGAAGACATTTAGAATTATCTGAAATAACAAGATTGTGATATGTATTGACCATTTGTGAATAAACACATGTATGTGTATAATAAGCACAGATAAAAAATTTTTATTGAAAGTAACCTATGTTGCACTTGCTCTCTTAACTTCACAAAAGTGCAGGAATCTTTCCATGAGACTACATATCATTGATAACATTGCTAACTTAGTTATCTTTGGGAACAGGAGCATAGTACACCATTGTCTTCCATAGTATTCTGGATGTGCTGTGACCCGGTCAGTTGCCAATTAGACATGCAGGTGTGAGATGCAGGCTTGAAGTGTAATGACACTTAAGAAACCTTTATGATCCTGCTGGTTTTGGCTCAGTGGTTAGAGTGTTGGCCCGCAGACTGAAGATACTGGGTTTGATTCCAACCAAGGATGCATACCTCAGTTGCAGGCTTGATCCCTGGCCCTGGTTAGGGTGCATGTGGGAGGCAACCAACTGATGTGTCTCTCTCACATTGATGTTTCTATCTTCCCCCACGCGGAAAAGCAACAGAAAAAATATCCTTGGGTGAAGATTTTTTTAAAAAAGAAAGATTTATCGATTTAAAATTGTGNATCTTCCCGCACGCGGAAAAGCAACAGAAAAAATATCCTTGGGTGAAGATTTTTTTAAAAAAGAAAGATTTATCGATTTAAAATTGTGGGGTTTTTTAAATTCTCCATTGGACTCCAAAAGTACAGTCACGAGTAGATATATGGCTTAATAAATAAAAGGTTTGTGTAACTTGAAATTTGGGTAACCTTGATGGTGGTGATACCAAGTCAAGTGAGGCAATGGACCTTTACTGGGGGTGGTTATAATAAACTCATTTGCCTATTGACTGGTGTGTAGCCATTTGTGTCAGACCAATATTGTGTTAATTTATCTACCTTTTTTTTGTTGTTGTTTTTTAATGTTTTAATGTCCATAAATGAAGTCTTTTGGTGTTTTAAATTATTTTTTAATCCTCATTCAAGAGTATTTTTCCCATTGCTTTTCAGAGAGAGTGGAAGGGAGAGAGAGAGAAACATCAGTGTGAGAGAGACATTGATTGGTCGCCTCCTGCACTCGCCCCGACCAGGGCCGGGAATGGAACCTGCAACTGAAGTACGTGCCCTTGGCTGGAATTGAACCCGGGACCCTTCATTCGATGGGCCAACGCTCTATCCACTCAGCCAAACCAGCCATGGTGGTGTTTTCAATTGTATATATCATCTGTTTTAATTACAAAAAATCTGAGGAACTAGCTTTTCTGATTTACAGAAGGATTAACTTGCCCAGGGCCCCAAGATCATGTTCTGACTTTGTTGCATGAGGTCTTTACTTCATGCTTCTGCTTTCTGTTATGTGATCTTTTCAGTTGTGGTAAAGAGAGCTTGAGAATAATGAGTGGTTAGTTAACTTTTTAAAATTGCATTTAATTTTTTTTAGTCTTGAATCCAGATAATAGTTTTGAAATATTAGTGGACCAATCTCTTGTGAACAGTGGAAATCTCCTAAATGACATGACTCCTCCTGTAAATCCTTCACGTGAAATTGAGGACCCAGAAGACCGGAAACCTGAGGATTGGGATGAAAGACCAAAAATACCAGATCCTGATGCTGTCAAACCAGATGACTGGTGAGTGTTTGAGTGCAGTGGAGCATTTTGTATATTCCACGTGGCTTGAACAAATGAATGTTAGTTTAGATCTGATAATTTTAATAATCTATGATACAATTAAAATGATAAGGAAAACATAGACTACTGTAGCTGAAAGGGGGCCTTATACCATTTTACAAACCACAAAACTCTGAAATGGATGAGTTTTTTTTGTGCTGACAAGGTTACTTTTTGTCAAAACCTCAGTTCTCTTGGCTTGGCCTATCAAATGCTTCTGGGAATTCACAATGAAAGCTTGAGTCCTCCGATTTTAAATTTTAATTTGAAAAATAATCTTTTTTCTATTTAAATAAAACAAAAGAGATCTGTGCTTTGTGCTGGGCAGTGGAATACAAAGCCACAAGGACATGAGCTGCCCACACAGCTCCCAGTTCAGCAGGTAAATGAAATTGGGATGCATATGGTGAGTGGTCTAATAGTAGGTGTTACTTGGTGACCCAGAACACCAGGTATACCTAATTCAGGGTGGTTCCTTGGGGCAGTGCCAATCAAATTGAGACTTGAAAGAGGAGTAAGAATTAACTAAGTGGTAAAGATAGGAAATGATATTCCTGGTTAAAGAAGCACATCATGGGTAGAAGTAGAGCAGGAGTGAGCTCAACACGTATGAGGGAAGTTGAGTATATATGGCCTTTTGTGTAGGGTACAAACTAGAGAGTGATGAGAAATGAAAACTGGCTTTTGGAAATGTCAGAAAGGGAACAAAGAGAAATAATAAAGCTGATCTTCCGTTTGTAAAAGTCTCCCGTTAAGCTTAGCTGTGAAATTACAGTTGGTGTTTTTCCTCCCTTAAATTAAGGTATGGGTTCCTGGACTTTTGCTGCACTGGTGTAAATTCCAAGTTTTCTTATGTATTTGGTGAACATTAGATTTGGACTCAGCCTTGTTGTTAATATTATATTCCTTATCTGTTTTATTTTGGAGAAGAGGGTGTGAGTGTTCTGCTTATAAGTGTCAGCTGAATGTTGTACAAATTCAGGTTCTCTCACAATTAATTTAAAACTAAGCATAGTTCAAAAATATGATCAAGGATGGATGATGTCTTTGCTTACCAACTAAAGTGACACCATCTTTCAGCAACTGCATGAAACTGAAAGTTGGTACTTCTCGGCGAACTTTTATTTTAGAAGTAACTGAGGTATAATTAACACACTAAAATCAACCCTTTTATTTATTCACTTTTATTTTTTAATCCTCACCCAAGGACATGCTCAGAGAGAGAGAGGGAGAGAGAGAAAGAAAAACATCGATCATTTGCCTCCCATACACACTTGACCCAGAATCGAACCAGCAAACCTTTCAGTGCACAGGATGATGCTCTAGGCCTGGCTTTAAAAAAAAAAATTTACTATTTTTTTAATCCTCATCCAAGGATATGTTTTTTTACTGATTTTAGAAATAGAGGAGGGAAGAGGGAGAAAGAAAGAGACACATCCATGTGAGAGAGAAACATTGGTTGCCTCCTGTACGTACCCTGACTGGAGATTGAACCTGCAACCTGGGTATGTGCCCTGACCGGGAATTAAACCCGAGACCTTTTCGTTTGTGGGACGACGCTCCGACCGAGTCACACTGGCCAGGACAAATCTACCCTTTTAAATTGTACAGTTTAGCTGTTTAGTATGTGCCACCATCACCACTATCTAATTCCAGAAGCATTTTATCATCCCGAAGAAATCCATCCCCAATAAGCAGTTACTCCCTATTTCTACATTCCCTACTTTATTATTATTTTTAAATATGTCTTTATTGATTTCAGGGAGAGAGAGAAGAGAGAGAGAGAGAAACATCAATGATGAGAGAATCATTGATAGGCTGCCTCCTGCATGCCCCCCACTGGGAATCGAGCCCACAACCCAGGCATGTGCCCCAACCGGGAATCAAACCGTGATCTCCTGGATCATAAATCGATACTCAGCTGCTGAGCCACGCCGGCCAGACAACATTCCCTACTGTCTCTATGGCTTTGCCCATTCTGGCCATAGAATAATAAAATACGTGACCTTTTGTGCTGGCTTTTTTAACTTACCATAATGTTGTCAAGGGTCATCCATTTTGGAGCATGTATCAGTGCTTCATTTCTTTTTATTACGGAATAATGTTCCATAGTATAGATAATACCAATTTTATTTATCCATATCTTAGTTGATTGACATTTAGGTTGTTTTCCCTTTTTGGCTATGGATTATGACTAATGCATCTATGGACATCCTTGTATAGGTTTTTGGGTGGATATACATTTTTATTTCTCTTTAATATATACTTATGAGAGGAATTGCTAGGTCATATGGTAACTCTTTTTTGAGGAATTGTCAAACTATTTTCCAAAGCACTGCACCATTTTGCTTTTTCACCAGCAATGTATGTGGGTTTTACTTTCTCCACAGTCTCACCACTTGTTTTTGTCAGTCTTTTTTATTATAGCCATCCTTGTGGCTGTGAAGTGGTATCTTATTATGGGTTTTGTTTGCATTTCCCTGATGGCTAATGATGTTGAACATCTTTATTGTGTGCTTATTGGCCATTTGTATATGTTTAAAATTTTTGCCATTTTTTTAATGGGGTTGTCTTTTCATTACTGAGTTGTAAGAGTTCTTGATATATTCTGGAGACTAGGCCCTTATCAGATATGTGATTTGCAAATAATTTCTAGAAAAATTTTAAGTTTTGAGATTAAATAAGACCTAAATATTTTTAGATTGCCCTGCTTCAGATTCACAAAGGGGACCACATTGTGATTCTCTGGCCATTGTTGTCATAATTGGCTTTTGCTTTTGTGTTTAAGGGATGAAGATGCCCCTGCTAAAATTCCCGATGAAGAAGCCACAAAGCCGGAAGGCTGGTTAGATGATGAGCCCGAATATGTAGCTGATCCAGATGCGGAAAAGCCAGAGGATTGGTAAAGGCTTCAGTTAATTTTTAATTACCTTCTTTTTAAAAAAAAATTTTTAAATATGTCTTTATTAATTTCAGAGAGAGGAAGGGAGAGGGAGAGATAGAAACATCAATGATGAGAGTGTCATTGATCGGCTGCCTCCCACACGCCCCCTACTGGGGACCGAGCCCGAAATTCAGGCCTGTGCCCTGACTGGGAATCAAACCATGATCTCCTGGATCATAGGTTGATGCTCAACCGCTGAGCCACGCTGGCTGAGCTTAATTACCTGTGTTTTCGTTTTGTTTTGTTTTGTTTGTTTTGTTTTAACAGAGATTAGCCTTTTATTGAATGTGTTACAAAAGGTTTAGTCAAAAAGACCAAAGCCCATGTCATCATCAGACTCCTCAGATTCTTCTTTCTTTGCTTCCACTTTCTTCTCCTCAGCTGGTGCAGCAGCGGTGGAGGGGGCAGGACCTCCTGCTGGTGCAGCAGTAGCTGCTGGGGCAGGTCCACCAGCCCCTACATTGCAGATGAGGCTCCCAATGTGACATTGGCCAGAGCCTTTGCAAACAAGCCTGGCCAGAAAGGTTCAACATTTACACCAGCTGCTTTAATGAGGGCATTGATCTTATCCTCCGGTCACCTTCACCTCATCGTTGTGCAGGATAAGGGCCAAGTAGACACAGGCGAGCTCTGAGACCCAAGCCATGGTGTGGGCGAGCGGTGGGCGGGTGCTGCCGGGAGTGGTGCTAGTCGCCAGATGAAGTGAGGGCCTCACCCCAACGTGGCCTTAGCTTCCTCGGAAGAACCGAGCACCTTACCGGCAGCTGGGGAAAAGGGCAATTACCTGTTTTTTTTATCGAAGTAGAAGTTTATACTTAAAGACAGCTGAGTGCCCAAACTTAAGTGTAGAGCTCAATAGGTTTAATTATTATTTTATTTTATTTTTTGTTAATCCTCACCAGAGAATATTTTTTCCATTGCTTTTCAAAGAGTGGAGGGGAGGGGAGGAGAGAGAAACATTGATGTGAAACACATCAACTGATTACCTCCCACACAATCCCTGACCAGGGGGTGGGGAGCAAACCTGCAACACAAGTACATGCCTTGATCGGGAATCGGACCCTTCGGTGTGGGGGCCAAAGCTCTAACCACTGAGAACACTGGCCAGGGCGATTTAATTATTTTTTTATATCTTTTACACACCCCTCATGAGAAACCGTGGTTACTAGAAATGTTGAAACAGCATGGTGCTCTATAGTGTGACACTGTGAAAGCATTCCTACGGGATTTCAGGGGAGCCCTGGGGTGGCAGTTCATAGTCCTGCTTCACAGTCCCCATTTGTAATTGGTTTATTTCTCCACAGGGATGAAGATATGGATGGAGAATGGGAGGCTCCTCAGATTGCCAACCCTAAGTGTGAGTCGGCCCCTGGGTGTGGCGTCTGGCAGCGACCTATGATTGATAACCCTAATTATAAGGGCAAATGGAAGCCCCCCATGATTGACAACCCTAACTACCAGGTCTGTGTTTCTCTCTCTTGTTTAATCCTCACCTGAGGATATGTTTTACTGATCTTAGGGGTGGGGGGAGTAGAGAGAAACCTCAATCGGGTACCTCCCTGCCGGGGATTGAGCCGGCAACCTTGGTGCATGGGATGATGCCCTAATCAACTGAGCCAGACCGGCCAGGGCAAGGTGTGTGCCTCTTAATGTGCTTCATTGATCTGGTTGTGTTCAGATACAAGTTTTGTCTGTAGCGAGGCTGCCAGGTTGATCACTATTTTCAAGCAATAGAAATACAAAGTTAACTTCATAAATTGAGAGAGAACTTAATGTGTTCAATGTTGAAAAGATAAAGCTAGAAACTGAAAAGAAGAGCTTTCATAATTGCTTTGTAACTTATGTTTAAAAACAAAGAAAAGACAAATGGAAAACTTGCTATTTGGGTACCCTTCTATCATGTGGCAGGGGGTGCTGCAGCAGTAGATACAGATTGGTAGTCTGTGGTGGGGTGGAGAGAGGACTGGGATAGGAGTTATTCCCAACCACAAGTCAGCTCCTTGCTTGAGCTCAGTATTATCAACTGGAAAAAGACTGAAATTCAAATGAGATGATAAGAATCGGATAGTGACATTATTAAAGCTTCACGTTTACTGTGGGCATGTAATCACTCAGACCCTGGTCTCACTTGTGTTTCTATTCTAGTCAAATTATTTGTAATCATTAATTTTCACTTTGTCACACTTTAAAATGTAAGATGTAGGTATTTTTGATTGTGCAGGCAATAAGATTAGTTAAAAATTTCCCTTTAAAAAACTACACTTTGGCTGTTCTGTTGATGGCCATTTAGGTGGATTGCCTTTTTTTTTTTTTGAATCCTTGATGCTGTAATCATCCTTATGCATGTCTTAGTGTACGTAGTAACTATTTCTCTAGGTAGTTACTTAGAAGTGAAATTGCTGGTTGAAGATCATTTACATTTTAAATCACCACTAAAGAAGTCTGTACCAACATAGGCTCCCACTCCTGCTAGCAAACTAGTTGATGAGAGTGGAGGCTTTTGGAATGTGCCAGGCACAGTGAGGTGTTGGTTTAGATGAATGTTGTGTATAATAGAAATTAAAAGTAGTTGGGGGGGAGGGGAGAAAGAGGTGAAGGGGTCAATTCTGTGGTGAGGGGTTGTAATTAGGCCTTTCGGGGTGACCACTTGGTAGTGAATACATTTGTCAAATTATGTTGTACACCTAAAACTTATATAATAATAATAATAAAAATAAAAGAAATTGAAAGTAGTTGAAGTTCAGATGTCTTAGAGGCAGAGTGTAAAACATCAGTATCATTTATTTTCTTTCTGTTACTCAGTTAAGTTTCACAGAGTCAGCACTTAGCTCCATTTATCATGCAGAATTCATCTTAATTCTTATTTAGAGTCACCGTAAATTTGAGTTGATCATTATCTGAAATGATTTTTTTAAATATTTTTCTCTAGGGAATCTGGAAACCCAGGAAAATACCAAATCCAGATTTCTTTGAAGATCTAGAACCTTTCAAAATGACTCCTTTTAGTGCTATTGGTTTGGAACTGTGGTCCATGACCTCAGACATTTTCTTTGACAACTTTATCATTTGTGGTGATCGAAGAGTAGTTGATGATTGGGCCAGTGATGGATGGGGTCTGAAGAAAGCTGCTGATGGAGCTGCTGAGGTTTGTGCTTGCTTGTTTCTTGTGCATTTATATCTGCAATTGCTACTTTTGCACAAACCTATCATCTATGGTTTGCCTTTTCCCTTGTTTGGAAATATTGGCATAAAAAGTGATCTTATGCCTACTAAAGACAAAATATGGTGTTTTTGGACATGATTGCTTTAGTCTAATGCAGTGACTTTATAATCTATTTGTGTTATGTGTAGGATTTTTTTATTGTGTTAAAATATATTTAACAGAATTGCCATTCAGGGTGTATTTTAATGCACTCTTTTAAATGTTGAGTGTTGGTTTACCCAATATGTGGAATTTTCAAAGAATTCGTCATATGGCTGAGCTGTGAATTAGAGAGCCAGGGGCATTAAGATCAAGAAATTCTTCATTCACTGGTTCCTGAAATTAAGTCTTTAGCTGGTGATTAAGAAGCCAGCTTTCATACCTGTGAAAGGGAAATCACCTTGATATAGAGAACAAGAAAATTGAGGATTTTCTCCTATTTCCTTTTTTTGCTATATGAACATCTTGGCTTGAACCCTTTGGAAAAGGTGGAGCCTGAGTAGTACCATGTAGTCATTGAACAGTGGAACATTGCTGCCTATACTTGGCATCAGAAGCCAGAACTTGAAATCAGTCGTATCTTGTTTTTCAGCCAGGTGTAGTGGGGCAGATGCTGGAGGCAGCTGAGGAGCGCCCATGGCTCTGGGTGGTCTACGTCTTGACTGTAGCGCTGCCTGTGTTTCTCGTAATCCTCTTCTGCTGTTCTGGAAAGGTATGAGGATTGGTTTGGTTTGGTTTTCAGTCACTTTTAGATAGAACTCTTATGATATTAAAAAATAAGATATATTGCCTGAGGTTTTCTTTGTAGCAGCTTAGTAGTAACTGGACCACATTTGATGTTGACTTCTGAAACCTCTTTCACTACTCTTAGTGGCCAAGTATTGTACCCAGATGGGAGTGGCATTTGTAGCCCCTTCATTTCTAGTAGTATTTATAAGCCACTGTCCTTAATATTTGGCAGCAACTTTGGGGCGAGGAGGGAAACAAAAAACTTAGATATAAATCTGGCCATCTGGGCATAAACCTATTCCTCTTGGCACAGCTGTTTCTATTGATACACTTTATAATTTGATCATTGATTTGTCATTACCAGTTCCTCCCTACCCCCACTCCCCCACAAATACATGTGGGGTAAAACAGCCTTTTTTAGTTTTTCTTGTTCAGCCTTTGTTACATGCAATGGAAAATAAAATGAAATTTTGTCTAGGCTCTACTTACACTAAATAAGAATTATGCTTCACCTTGCATTCAAGATGTTCTGTAATCTGATCCCCAGAGTGCCTTTTCCAGCCCTATCCCCACCACTATTCTGCCAGTGGGCCTCAGTCACCATGACTATTTAAACCTGCATGGTTCTGCCTGACCCTTTTGTACTTTTCCTTTTTTTTTTTTTTGAAATGTATGTTTATTGATTTCAGAGAGAGGAAGGGAGAGGGAGAGAGAGAGAGAAAAACATCAATGATGAGAGAGTCATTGATTGGTTGCCTCCTGCACGTGCCCTGCTGGGGACTGAGCCCGCAACCCGGGCATGTACCCTGACCGGGAATCTAACCTCGATTTCCTGGATCCTAGGTTGATGCTCAACCCCTGAGCCACACCTGGCCGGGCTATACTGTTCCTTTTATCTTGAAACCCCACACACTCTCACCCAAGAAAAGATTCCTGAGGGCATGGAGTACATCTTACTCATTTCCATATACCTACCCTAGTACACACAGCCTGGTACAGAACTTTGCTCATAGGCATTCAATAATTATATAATAACGTACTATATAAAATGTGAACAAAATGGTTGTACTGTGGGGAAATCTTTCAGAAACAGCCCAGCCCTGTGGAGTACAAGAAGACGGATGCTCCTCAGCCCGATGTGAAGGAGGAGGAGGAAGAGAAGGAGGAAGAAAGGGACAAGGCGGATGAGGAGGACAGCGAAGAGAAACTGGGTAAGAGGTGGATCCCAGAATCCCTGCTTTCCGCTGAGACCCTGAGATGGGCAACCCTTCAGCGAGTTACTGTAAAGATTGTTTTAGACTCTCGAGTTATATTCTAATGCTAATTGTCTACTTACCCCAAACAAGTGTAAGGTTTGCTGAGTTGTTTTACTTTGACTTCTGTCTTAGAAGAGAAGCAAAAAAGTGATGCTGAAGAAGATGGTGACGCTGTCAGTCAAGAGGTTGAAGATAGGAAACCTAAAGCAGAGGTAACAGGAAGGGGGAGTGTGTTTTTTGCTTTTTTAATCTTCGTCTGAGGATATTTTTTCCATTGCTTTTCAGAGAGTTGGGAGGCGGTGGGGGGGTGGAGGAGAGAAATGTCGACTTGAGAGACACATCAATTGGTTGCCTCCCGCACGCACTCCGGGCTGGGTCAGGCCTGTAACTGAGGTACGTGCCCTTGACCACAATCAAACCTGAGACCCTTCAGTCCAAGGGCTGACGCTCTAACCACTGAGCAAAACCAGCAAGGGCTGTTTTGTATTTTAAGCATCTAAGTTGAAGGTACATTTAAGTAGAAGGAATATTTTCATAGAGTAATTTTCAATGGCCATGGCTGTAAAAAAATCTGTTAAAGTCCATTTTATAAAAGTGAAATTCTTAGAAATACAGGTCAGCATGTTAAAACTTCAAATGATATCTAAATCATTTATTTTTTCAATAAATATTTGTGGAGTGTCCATTATATGTCAGGCCTTGTCAGTGAACAAGATAGACAAAGGTAACCTGCCTTTGGGGAGCTTAATTTCTAGTGGGAGGAAACAGAATTAGCAGTAGACATTTTAAGGAAGTAAATGAACAAATGTTAAAAAAGCTGGCCATGAAAAATAAAAGCAGGATAGGAAAGGATATCAGAAGTGCTGGAGGTGGAGTGGGTTGCAGTGTTAAAGATGGTAGGCCTGTTTGGCTTAGTGGTTAGAGGTTCAGCTTGTGGACCGAATGGTTATGGGTTCGATTCCAGTCAAGGGCATGTACCTCAGTTGCAGACTTGATCCCTGGCCTCGGTTAGGGCATGTCTCTCACATTGATATTTCTCTCCTCTGTCTCACCCCCTCCGTACCATTCTCTGGAAAAAAACCAATGGAAAAATATCCTTGGGTGAGGATTAACAATGACAAAAAGACAGTACGCCTCATTGGAGAGGTGGCATTTGAGCGAATACTTGAAAGCAATAAAGATTTTTCCATGGAGATGTCCATGGGAAGAGCATTCCCACAGAGGAAACAGCCAGCACAAGGGCCTAATGTGGTAGCCTGTAAGGCCACCATGGTCAGTAGTATGAGCAAGTGGAGAACAGGAGGATGGGGAGGGTCCAGATTAGGTGGTATCTCCTAGGCTGTTGTATGGGGTTGGCTTCTCCTAGTGAAATGGGCAGCCATTCAGGCTTTGGGGCTAAGTAGTGACCCAGTCCGATTATTCCAGCTGCCGTGTTTTCTACAAACCAGAAAAAATCAAGGAGACATGTTAGGAGATTGCTGTGCTAATCCGGGTGAGATAAGGTGGTCCTGAGCAGGACAATAGGAAAGAAAGATGTGGGCTTCTGGATCTGGATCTTTTGGTGGGTTGGATATGAGGTTTGAGGGAAGAATAGTCCACACCTTTCCTACCAAGGTCCCTTCCCAAACACTTCTCTATTTCATTACCTCTTTTTCTGGAAACATTGTACCCAGTGTCCATTTCCAGCTCCCTCTCTTCTGCCCTCCTATTGATAAAGGTCAATGCTGTTTATGTTTTAAGTGGATATATTCTGTCTTAACTAAAATGTAGAGTTCTTTCAGGTAGGGTCAGTCTCACATATTTTTTATAATCCCCAAGCTTCCTCACACAGTAAGAAGTCCCTGTGTAGAATAGGAAGAGTACCAGGCTTATCGTCTGAAGTGTCACATGGGACTTGGCTTGGGTAGTCGTCAGTCTCCCCAAAATCTAGCTTTTTCAGCCTCAAAGTGGGACTAATGTGTCCACAGGCCAGTAGATTATTTAGGATTAATCAAGATGACATGTGAATGCATGGTGTCTGGTCCTTTTAAAAGAAAACATTTATGGGTTAAATTGAGAAAAGTGCATTTTTACAGAAAGAAGACAAAAAAAGACTGTATTAAAACACATAATCCCACTACTTCCAAGACAGTTTTTGGCACATTTTCTTCTAATCGTTTTTTTCTCTCTTGTTTTTCCCTCAGATGGGTTACCCTCAGCCTGGTAAATCTTGAAAACTTGGGGAAGTTTTACTTTTCTTAATATGCTAATTATAATGAATTTCTTATCTTTTCAACCAATAGGAGGATGAAATTTTGAACAGATCACCAAGAAACAGAAAGCCGAGAAGAGAGTGAACTATCTTAAGAACTTGATCTGTGATTTCCTCTCCCTTCCCTTCCCCTGCAAATGTGGTCCTAGGAGAGAACCTGGCACACCTTAGGTTGAAACTCAAAACCTCCAGATGTCACCTTCAGCAAGTTTCCGTCGAACACTAGCCCGTGTAATTTTAAATATCTAGCAGTAAATAATTGCAGTTGTGACAAACAGGACCCTGTTTTTGTAGAAAGAAAGCATTTAACAATGGTTGTAAAATGTAACATGAAGCAACTAACTTGTATTTTTTTTTAAACATCTTTGTTTTTTTAAAATAGATAGAACTTGCCAGTCTTTAAAATCTTGGCTTAATTTAATATATTAATGTGTCCATGCAGGAATAACACCAACTTTTGGAAATGCTAGGGGGCGAATTCCAGTTTTTATAACCCATTTTGTTTGAGTTTGGTATTACAAAACATTCAAGTGTCTCTGTCCCTTAAAATTGATGATCATGTTTAAATTGTGTTGTTTGTGGTTATAATCTTGTATTGCTTACTTCCATTACTCAATTTCTACTAAGGAAATTGAGGAGAGTGATTGGATGGAAGCCCAAATTTATATAAAGGTTCTGTTTAAATTGTATTAAAAATGGACATATAAAAAGAAAAAAACTTTTCACTTGATGTTGGTTAGACCATAAAGTGTGTGTGTGTTCTGTTGTCCTTGGAACAGCTCAGTTCACAGACAGCTTTGCAGTTAGCGGAGGAGGTGGCATTCGGGCCTTTGTACTCTACAGACCAGGCATGTCTGGGTTGCAGCCTTCTTGAGCAGGTGGCTTTTTAAGGACCGCTACCAAGACATATGAGCTCCAGAGTAGATGCAGGTGTTTTCATCCCATCTTCCACTCTGTTGACACTGTTTTCCCTTCCTGTTTCCCCAGATTCCTAGCTTTCTCCTCTGCTATGCATTTTCTTCACAGTGCAGCTTGCTGTCCGTTGCTGAAAATGATTGTAAGCTCTGCATAGTGTTAAGCTTTATTGTGATTGTCTATGTTTCTTCCTTTTTTAAGCAGACCTGCACCTTTCCAGGGTCAGAGTACAGAATAGATTGCTATCTTTTTTTTTTTTTTTAATCCATTTCTTTCACTCGGTGTAAAGACTAGAAGTCTAATCCAGATGTGAGCCAATTCAGAATTGACTGTAATTGAACACAGGCTAAAAAGTATTGATGGGAGGAGTGACATAGAGCATGAGTTATCCAGTTTTTGTAGCTGCTAAACCTTTTAAGTTTTCATTTGCAGTTCACGTAACAGTTCTGTCTTAAATAACATGATAAAGCAGTCCTGTTAAAAATAATTTTTTTTTTTAGTATGTGGATTGTAGAATATTTTAATAAGTGATGTTAGGTTTGTTTTTCATATGGAATGCAGATGGGTGCTATCAGAGTCTCTCCTCCATCACAGTATAATAATCTCACTATTACACCACACTGAAGTGTATTCAAAATTAGATGTTCTTTTAGCTTTATTCTTTCTTCAGAGGTGTTTCAAATATACCGATGATACTGTTCCTTGCACTGAATATATAAACGCTCCAGAGTGTTTATATTGGGGAGATATTGGGGAGGAAGTATATTTGTAAAAGATGAAGGCTGTGTCTGTTTATTTTGTTTATCTTCAATTTTTTACCAGCTCACTTAAGTTCTTAGGAGGGTGGGATGCATTTTTCTTGCTGTCCAGTGCTTTATTCTTTTCATCTGTTGTTCTGTGGTCACAGTGACCTTAGCTATGTAGCACACTTTCCCAAATGTATTGAGTGCAAATAAACAGTTACTTAGCAAGACCTGAAAATATGTCTGCAGGTTTCTCCTTTGAAGCAAATGCGTGGGGTCATTGCATTTCCAGAAATCTGCCTTCACTCTCTGTTGATATTTCATGCCTCACAGTTTCTTCTCGCTGAGCTGTGGAATAACAAGTGTAAGTTGGTAGAGTGTTCATTTGCCTTTCCAGGGTTATGTGGCAAAGTTTGTTCAGAAGAAAACAAGTCTTTTCTTGGTTCTCTTTTTCACTTTTTGTTAAAGTTGCAAACTCCTGATTAAATGTCTGGCGCATTAATGAATGACCAGCTGCAGTTTTTAGCTCTTTAAAAGGCACTTGCATTGTGATTTTACATGCTGGTTATCTGTCCCATTGTAAAATGCCCACTCCATCAGAAGTGTTCCTCAGTTTCTCTTGTCCACAATACTTTACACTTTTCTCCAGTGTCACATTACTAAATCGTATTACATTAAAGCCCTGTGTTAAGCATCTGCTTTTGACTGAACTTCTTCATAGTAACCTTTAATTCGTGTGTTTTACAGTTTCAAAATGGGTTAATCTTCCTCTAATTGGCCACTACATGAGAGTTTGTTAATATGTAGAAACTGCTAAGAACAATGGGATAATTATGGTTATCCCTTGGTATCCACGGGGATTGGTTGCAGGACCCCCCACAAATAGCAAAGTTAAAGGATACTCAAGCCCCTTATATAAAATTGTACATAGTATTTGCATATAACCTACACACATCTTCCCTTATACTTTAGATTACTTAGACATATTACAATGTAAATGCTATTACGTTTTATGTTTTGTTAATCCTCAACATATTTTTTCCCATTGCTTTTCAGAGAAAGTTAAGAGAGGGAGGGAAAGGGAAATTAGAGAGACACTGACTGGTTATTTCCCGAAGGCACCCTGACCTTGGGTGGGGAGTGAACATGCAACCCAGGTACCTGCCCTTGACCGGCACTTGAACCCATGACCCTTTGGTGCAGGGGCCCACACTCTCACCACTGAGCCACACCTGCCAGGGTTGTAAATACTATTTAAATAGCTGTTAAACTGTGTAGTTCAGTACAGATGCAACCTGCAGCCATCATAGGCTTAACTACATAGCACCCATCAGCAACAGTGAAACTTTTTTCCTGATATTTTCCATCCTTGGTGGTTGGTTGAATTTGAGGATGGGGAACCCTCTGATACTGAAAGCCAACTGTACTTTGTCACCATGAGGATTTGGTCCAATCAATTCAATAGAGATTTTTGCCTCCTTTTCTGCTGGATTGGGGTTTAATAGTTTCTGTTGTGTCATAGGAATAACAGCTCAAAGAGGGATAAGATTTATGGGGTAAGATTTATGGGGTAAGAGGTAAGATTTATGGGGCCCTCCCTAGCCGGTTTGCTTAATGGTTAGAGCTTTGGCCCCACAGACGGAAGGGTCCTGGGTTTGATTATGGCCAAGGGCCCATACCTCCGTTGCAGGCTCCAGGGAGGCAACCAATCCATGTGTGTCTCACATTGATGTTTCTCCCTTCCACTCTGAAAAGCAATGGGGAAAAAGTCCCCAGGGTAAGGATTTAAAAAAACATAACTATTTGAATAAGTAAAAAGTTACTATAGCTGCTGTTGATGCTGCTCCTCAACATGCAGCCTCCTGGCCACTATTTTTTAGCAATTAAGGTTCCCAGTGTCTCAGTCCAACACCAGACTAGTTTTGTTGCTGACTCATTGATCCCGTATTTTTTCCTAGTCTCCCTTTCCGTTTGACTGCTAGTTATACTAGAGTGTAATTGCCTTTGGTTGGATATTGAGTGACTCAGTTTTACCTGACACTATCTTTTAAATGTAAGGCTTGCAGGCCATACTCCCGGTTTTGACTGAAACGTCATCCTCCCCACTAATGAAGCTAGGCTCCCTGCACCTCTTCCTCACGTGTGCTGGGGCTTTTTTTTTTTTTTTTTTTTTGTAAGTAACTTGAAACGTGTTCAAATTTTTATATAAATGTGGAAATTGACAGTCCCAATGATTCTGAATGGTGCGAGAGGAAACCTTTTCCAGCTCACTCGTGAAATTCTGACCAATTAAGAGGCTGGATGTAAGGAATGAGGTCGAAGAAAAACAGCTGACGTTGAAAAAGCGTGGCTACTCTCGAGTTTATCTGAGCCAGCTTCAGAAAGGTTGCCAGAGAAGAAAATGGTGAAGTGCACTGATGCCGGGCGGCGTCCAGGTCGGGCCAGTGGCGCCGCGCCTACTGCCCGGCTCTCCTCCGCGGACCCGGAAGGGCCTGCCCGCGGGGGCGGTGCTCCGTGCGGCCCCGTCCGTCACACTTGGCTGGGTGCCCCAGGACCGAGGCCCGCCCCTTACTTGAGAGTTCCTTTAAACTCCGCACCGGAGCCCCTCTGCGCCTCCGGCGTGCTTGCCCCGCCCCTCGGGCGGCCCTCTCACCCAATTCTGATTGGCCGCAGTCCCTGCTCATCAGCCGTGACGCCAGGGTCGCCTGCCGGGGACCCGCCCTCTTCCGAGAGCCCTGAAAACAATTTTAAGATGGCGGCTACGGCGGCACGGAAAACAATGGGCTCGGGGTGGCGGGGCCAGGCCGAGGCCTGAGGTGGGCAGCGAGCGCCGGCCGGGGTCGGGCCGAGCGGAGCCGCAGGAAGACCCGCCGCCGTCTACGGAACTCGCGGGGCCATGGCGCGGCCGTGAAGCGGCC